GAGCGCGTCTGATTTCGCTCCCTTGGTGACGTGGCAAAGGGATCTCATTATAATATTACCGCCTCTTAATCTGTAAACTTCCACTCAAGGCACCGTCATTTTGATTCGCAAGCGACAACGGTGTACCAGCTCTAATGCCATGGCGAAAGTTTGAGCAAAACATGCTAACTGTTCTGTCTTTGGCTGCACAGACGAGCACAGAACACTATTTAGAGTCCCAGCCTCAGAGGAGACAAGAGAGCTGTGGATTTATTGATGTATTTAGGCTACTGTATATTGCTGCTGCCACAGATCTAAAATAAACAAGCGATTTATTTCCCAGCAGTTTACCTTCACAGACATAACCGACTGTTTTTGTAACTCGTGTTTTTTTAATGTAAACTTGTGTGTGAATGAGAACTTAGTTTAGTACTCGCATGCTGTGACAGCCGCTTTCTGTCCGTGTGCTTCGGATGTGTGCGCTCAGAAAACCTTATATCTGAAATTTAAACTCGTATGGTTTAAAACGCATGATTTCAGCGCGATAAACATGATAATCAGAACCAAAACAGATTTTTTTTAGCAGGTACAAGCTGTAATGGCGCAGCTCTATTCTGGAAAAGGAGGCGGGGAGCAGCAGCTCGTTTGCATTTAAAAAACAGCTTGTTTCTGCTTCCACTCAAAATAGGCATTTTCAAAATGATATAATAAATGATCTGTGGAGTATTTTGAGCTGAAACTTCACAGACATTCTGGGGACACCAGAGACTTATATTACATATTGTGAAAAGGGGCATAATAGGTCACCTTTAACCTGTGCATATTTCTCTCGTGATCCAGATGGGACAATTTTAGCCAGAAGCCATGGTTTGACGTTATGAACATCTTATATGATGAATTTATTACAAACACGCAGCTTTTCACTGCACAAGATGTTTATTGATGGACTGGAGTCATGTGGATTATTGTGTTTTTATCAGCTGTTTGGACTCTCGTTCTGATGGCACCCATTCACTGCAGAGGATCCATTGGTGAGCAAGTGATGTCAAAAACTCATCTTCATATTCAATAGCCTGAGAACATTTTCAGCACATTTTGAGTGAATTATTCTTTTAGGAACACACACACACACACGTTGCAAACACTTTTACACACACACACACTGCAAACACTTTTGCACAATCACATTTATGCAACACCTAACAACAGTTCATTACCAACTCGTTATTCTCAAACATTATTACGTGGTACTGGTAGAACAGGTTTCCCCAAGGGAAATTTTGAAATTCCCTAAACTACTACTAACAGAATCACAAGATTTAATGCCATCTAGTATACCGTGCCATTTCTTGACCTTTAGTTTTTTTTTTCTCTTACCATGCTTGTGTTAAAATGAGAGATTTGCCCTTTTAAAAGCATCTGGGCTACATTTCACACAACAGACCCTACTTTCAGAGTAATGATTATGCACTTCTCTAGAGAATACACTTCACCGGAGTAAAGCCAAAGCAGAAAGATTCTACGCCTGACTGAACTAAAGGAGCAGAACCAAAGCCATAGATCTCCTGTTGTTCATTTCGGTCCCTTACTGGAGAACAAAGCAGATAACTAAGGAAAAGTGATATCCCAACTGGTTTCTGCCTAACTACTTAAACATCTAAGGGAATGAATTCCTTGCACTTCCACATTTATAAGCCTCTATATTTAGGAACACACACACACACACACGTTGCAAACACTTTTACACACACACACACACTGCAAACACTTTTGCACAATCACATTTATGCAACACCTAACAACAGTTCATTACCAACTCGTTATTCTCAAACATTATTACGTGGTACTGGTAGAACAGGTTTCCCCAAGGGAAATTTTGAAATTCCCTAAACTACTACTAACAGAATCACAAGATTTAATGCCATCTAGTATACCGTGCCATTTCTTGACCTTTAGTTTTTTTTTTCTCTTACCATGCTTGTGTTAAAATGAGAGATTTGCCCTTTTAAAAGCATCTGGGCTACATTTCACACAACAGACCCTACTTTCAGAGTAATGATTATGCACTTCTCTAGAGAATACACTTCACCGGAGTAAAGCCAAAGCAGAAAGATTCTACGCCTGACTGAACTAAAGGAGCAGAACCAAAGCCATAGATCTCCTGTTGTTCATTTCGGTCCCTTACTGGAGAACAAAGCAGATAACTAAGGAAAAGTGATATCCCAACTGGTTTCTGCCTAACTACTTAAACATCTAAGGGAATGAATTCCTTGCACTTCCACATTTATAAGCCTCTATATTCTTTGTGAAGCTGTTTTGGAACAATATGTAGGCTATTGTGGAAAGTGCTGTGCAAATAAGCTGAAATTGAAATCCTACCCCACTACAGAAAAAAGGGCCAAGAGAGCAACAAAACATGAAATCACTTTCTTAGCTTGTGACACTCGTCTCCACAGCAACACCAAACATGTCTGCATGCATAGACAGTTAAGTAACCTTAACTTTGATTAAAAATTAGTTTTATTTAAAAGAAAGGAACATTTGAAATCGGTCAGACAGCGCCCATCTTTCTCAATAACATTTGTTATTCATGGACATGCATTAAAATAGGGCTGTCAGATAATTAAAATATTGCATTGTTATTAATCTCTCTTTTTTTTTTTAGTGTGTTAGCACATTAAGTTCCTTTTTAAAGAAAGAAAAAAAATGTATATAATATGTAGCTTTTTATGTTAATTATGTGATTTTTTGAAAGAAGTCGCAGTAAAAACAATAATATTAGCAAAGATGCACTCAATATATTTTGTTTGTTCAATATAGCAGCTGTCTTGGACTTTGACACTTAGCATCATGCTAAAGTGTTCAGTGTCTGTAGAACTGCTCTATGCACAGTCAGCCATGATGAATTTATTCTTTGAGCAAAATATCTAGTAACATTGGGATCACTGTGATAAAGTAGCATTTGTGCGGTCGTGTGATCTCAGCATGAGGTGACACTTCACATAAAATCAAACATTTTTACTACTGATATGACTGGAGTCTGCATCTCACAATCATGCTTATTATTATAAACATTTTCAAAAATTGCATTCATTTCCTTAATACTGAATTCAACTTTAAAAGCATAGTGTATATAAAAGTTTAAGAACCTACACTCAAAAATAAAGGTTCCAAAAGGGTTTTTCCGCAGCAATGCCATTTAATAATCATTTTGGGTTGCCTAAAGCACCTTTGTCAACCATTTTTTCTTACTCAGAAGAATATTTAAACAACAATAACCATTTTCCACTATAAATAACCTTTTTGAAATGGATTTGTTCCATGGATGTTAAAAGTTATTTATTGGGACCTGCTTCAAAAAAAGAATCTGTGACATCCACAGACCATTTTCATTTATTTTAAGAGTGTAAAGATGTCCACATAACAGTTAAAGAATTCTTACTTTACCTGAAATGTTTACTTGGGAAGCTTTGGAGGCTCATCCCTTGCCATGGCACCTGGATCTGCAAAGCCACGCATACCATGAATAACGTCAATAACGCGATGCCTAACAACCCAATGAACCACAGCAGAAGCCTCGTGGGCAGCCGGCCTGTCATTGTGCTACTTTCCTTGTGTTGCGAGTCTGCGTTCCCAAGAACGTCTGGTCACCTTGCAAGCACATGAGCGTTCTCCTGATGAAGGGTTAGAGCAGTGTTTTGATGAAACTTGGGTTTAAAAGGGGGAGGGTTGGCAGGGACGCTGCCAGTTAATTACTTCGTTTTGAGCCCGGCTTTCACACGTGGGAGTCTCCCGGCACCACCAGGACTTCTGTGAAAGGAGGAAAAACACAATAGAGTGAAACTCCGCATGGCAGTTTCTACACAGTAATCCCGCTTTAATTAAAAGGCCTGGAAAACCAGGAAGATGTGATCCTGGTTTCAAAGTGCACCTTTGCTCAAAGAGCGTTTCAGATGCTAATTAGTAGTGTCAAAAAGTCTGCAGGATTTGACAAAGGAAGAAACAGGAGGGAATGGGTGAAAGACAGAAGTGAAATTACCATACAAACTGTTTTCAGGGTCGTATAAAGAAGAGGGTGAGGGAAAAATTGGTTTTTAGTAACGCTTCACCAAGCAGCGGTTCCTCTAGGGAACCAGAATTACTCCCTCAGGAAATGTTTCCCCATGACCACATTATTTTTTTTGTTTTGTTTTTGTAATATGATTACTGTCTGGTCACTGATTGGTCCCTGATCAAGCAATCACAATGAATACAAGACTCCTAACTTCTGAACTGATCGAGCTTCATGCATCACAAAAGACAAACATGGCTAACCGACTAGACAGGAGGAGCAGCCTCATTTTTTACTTTTTATATGCTAATTTATGTTCATGGTGGCATCATGAACTTGCACCTATTATAATCTTAAAATTATCATATGATAACATTAAAAAGTTAATGTGATGGTCTTTCAGAGAATTGGTTTTCAAAGTTATGAACATCAGGTCTTTAAAAAAACGATACGAGCAGGAAACGCATAACATAATTGTGTGCCAGATTGTGAAATTTGTGCAAGCATTTCAAAGCTAAAATACAGAGAAACAAATTCTAATGTTTTATGGTAATAAAATCATGTAATAAAAATGGAATATAAAAAGAGTTGGCACAAATCTTGTTTTTTAGACTTATTTTCACATTGGAAAAAAGCAAATGTCAAAAGGATATATATATATATATATATATATACACACATATACACTCTTAAAAATAAAGGTGCTTCAAAAGGTTCTTCAAGCGATGCCATAGAAGAACCATTTATATATATATATATATATATATATATCATCACTTAAGGTTTGGATAATACAAATAGAAAATAGTATACTATTTGAAAGTCATTTAAGCATAACTGGAAATACAACTTTACAATTCTGCAAAATGGCCTAAGGCTGATGATACATGGGACAACTTTTTGAGCAATGTTGCTTGGGCACTTTTTCCCATTGAGAATGGGCAACAAATTTCTATCTACTTTAGATCGGTCGTGGTCCTTGTGTCTCACCGGGTTGCCCAGCAAAATTGCTCAAAACGTTACCCGTGTATTATAGGTTTTAGGCATGCCATTCAGCATTCATGAGTCAGTAACATACCCTGAAGATTCACAAGCCATAGCTACCAGTGAAAAATCGGAATAAGGAACAGAACAAATGCTCTAAAGGTTTCTCTAATGAAATTTAACATTTAATTCACAACTGTCTCAAATACTGGAGAATAAAGCTTAATTCAGAGGCACAAAGGCTTATATTATGAATGATTTTTTTTGTCTTCACAATTCCTGCTATTCTTTTTCTGTCATATGTGGAATGACAATAATGCTATTTGTGAACCACTGTTTCGGTATGTGGAAATGGCCCAGTAACTTTTACTCAGGAATGTCTGAAAATTAAACCATAATCTCTTTTATGAAACCGCATAGAATTTCTCTTTAGAAGTATTAAAGTCGAATTAAATAACGAAAATAAATAAATAATAAATAAATAAATCTCCCAAAATGAATGAAAAAAAAAAAAAAGACAAATTTAAAAAAGTTTAACACAAAAAGAACCAGCTTCACATCACAAAGTAACCGTCACCTTATGTAGCATTCAAAGACAGCAGACTTGCAGCAGCCCTTTAGCTCAAAGAAAACTGGCAGAATATGTGAACAGACAGAGAAAAGAAAAAAAAAAGTCTCGTACCTGAGGGGAAACTCCTGTCAAGCGATGAGTGGAAGTCGAGCAGCAGTGTCTGGTTTAACAACAACACGACTCTCACACACTGAGCTCGAGAGGCGGCCCTACTGTGAAATGAGTAACAGTGTTGCCAGATTGGATGGACGATTTCCAGCCCAAAAGCTCACAAAAACCCTCCCAAAAAACGCCCAAACCTTTTAACTGTCAAAATAATGTGATGAAATATGTAAACCAAGGTTGCTAAGGGCCATTTTTACCTCCTTAAAACAAAATAATGATGATGACAAAATAAAATATTTAATAATATAAATATAACGTTAGATACATTTCCCAGGTAAACGGATCGAATCGGGGCAAATAGCCTACATTAAAGAGAATTAGGCTACCGAACATGAATAAAATATGCAAGCAGACACTGTCAAAACGGCAATCAAGAAATGCATAATTTTCAATTTCAATTTCAATGCAAAAAGTGCCCAATATAAGTGAAAGGAAAAAGCAAGATAATTAGCAGATATTTCACACTCGTTCATGCACTCACTATGACAGTCAAAACTGTGTCACATACATACTGAATTATAATCCGACAATTATAAAAAAGAACAAATGCGCTTATCCGCAGACACTGTCAAAACGGCAATCAAGAAATGCATCATTTTCAATTTCAATGCAAAAAGCGCCCAATATAAGTGAAAGGAAAAAGCAAGATAATTAGCAGATATTTCACACTCGTTCATGCACTCACTATGACAGTCAAAACTGTGTCACATACATACTGAATTATAATCCGACAATTATAAAAAATAACAAATGCGCTTATCCGTTAATATTGTAGAACATCATACAGAACTTTGCACAGTCAAAACTCATCAAGTCTAGCAGTTTGCAAGGACTTATCAATTTGGACCGTTTATAAGATAAAAGACAGGATCGTATAAACCGACATATTTAGTTTCGGTTATGATTAATTCAAATGTGCTCTGATTTCGGAGTTGCAGTGATAGAGCCTTCGTGTCATCTCACGCCACAATAATTCACGTTTTGAGAGTTGAGTCACTCTCCCACTCTTTAACTTATATTTAGGCATTGTGA